GGGGGGCGGCGGGCGAGGGGATTCTGGGGCCCCACTAGTTCACAAGCACAAGCCATGGCTGGAGCCGACCTATCATGGCATAGTCACGGAGAATGACAACGCCGTGCTGCTCCACTCGTCCCTGATCACGCGGGATGAAGACGCACCCTTCTGGTTCGCAGGTGAGATTTGTGGATTTAAAATTCACGGGCAGCCGGGCTCGGTGGCTCAGCCTGTAATCCCGCGCCTTTGGGAGGCTGAGGTGAGTGGATTGCCTGAGCCCGCGCGTTCGAGACCCGCCTGGGCAGCGAGACCTCATCTCTACAATAAATCAAAAAATCAGCCAGGCGTAGTAGTGCATACCTGTAATTCCAGCTACTCGGAAGACTGAGGCGGAAGGATCGTTGGAGCCCAGCAGGTCGAGGCTGCGGTGGCCGGGAGCGGCCACGGCACTCCAGTCTGGGCGACAGAGTGAGACTCCAACTCAAAAAATAATAATAATAATAAATTTCACGGGCAGAATGTCCCCTTTGATGCAGTAGTAGTGGATACATCCACTGGCGAGGGAGTTATTCGCTGGAAGGAGAAACTGAACTGTGAGTAGTTGGAAGACTTACTCGTTTACCATCCAGGCCTAGGACCGCGAGAAGGGACCCGAGGGCACTACGGTGAAAAAGTCTCATAAAGCCACCGTCCTCATTCAGGTGAATGATGTGAACGAATACGTGCCTGTGCTCAAGAAGTCCTCCAAGGCAGCCGTGGTCGAGGGGAGGCAGGACGACAGCATCCTGAAGGTGGAGGCCGTGGGCGCAGACTACTCCCCTCCTTGCAGCCAGATTTGCAGCTACGAAATCATCAGCCCCCGACGTGTCATTGATGGTGGGCAAGGACGGTTACATAAACAACCCAGAGAAACTAAAGTATGGGAAAGAACATCAGTATCAACTGACCGTCACCGCCTACGACTGTGGGAAGAGAAGAGCCGCGGAGGACGTGCTGGTGGAGATCAGCATGATGCCCCCCTGCACCCCCGGCTGGCAAGGGTGGAACAACAGGACTGAGTATGAGCCTGGCACCGGCGCGTTGGCTGTCTTCCCGAATATCCACCTGGAGACGTGTGACGAGCCCGTCGCCTCCGTGCAGGCCACGGCGGAGCTGGAGCCCAGCCACATAAGGAAAGGCTGCGACCACGACACCTGCTCGAGAAGTCCCTTCACCGGCTCTGTGCTGCAGCCGCTGGCACCGCTGAGCTGCCCGGTGTTCCCAGCCGCGCCCTGAACCGGACCCTCGGCCTCCGCACCCACCACGGTCACGACAGCAGCCGGGTCCTGGAGGTCGATGGCACTCGGGCCGTGAAGATCCCAGACGGCATTGTCTCGGTGGTCCTTGATTTCCGTGTGGATGAGGCAAGGGCTTTCGGCGGGACGAAAGAGACGATTCTTTGCAGTTCAGACAAAACGGAGATGAATCGGTACCATTATTCCCGCTACGTCTCTGGGGTGCCGGTTCATGTTCCTCCTCCATCAGGACCCTTCTGAGGAGACCAAGTACAAGACCGCGCAATTCCACTGGAAGCTGAATCGGGTCTGTGGCGAAGAATGGCCTCACGGAGTCCTCGGCGTGGACGGCGCCGCCCAGGAACCCTTCTCGGTGACCGAGGACCACCCGCCCCACCCGGCGGAGATAGAGACCCAGCTCTTGGTCGGGGCTTGCTGGCAAGGTTGTGTCCTGCGCCTGATCCAGTGTATCTGAGGCGATCTGGCTGGCCTAACGCTCCTTTCTGGAAAACTTGCAGATGAGAAAGTGACAGACTGTCCGTCTACCTGCAAAGACAGGCTAGACCTACGAGTGCCTAAAGACAGTGGCAGAGGCGTGCAGATCCAGTCAAGCCCCAGCCAGTCGGGGCGACCTTGGAGGAAGACGATCTCGGGGAACTGGATAAGGCCATGCAACACGTCTCCTACCTGAACTCCTGGCATGTCCCCACGCCCAGCGTCCGAAGACTCAAAATCACCAGCTCGATCAAGTGCTTTAACGGGACCACCTGCACCTCCATCCCCCCAGTAGATGGCTTCTTGATGGTTTTACAGCCCAAAGAGTCTCAGATCAGCCTGAGCGGCATCCACCGTTTTGCTCGAGTGTCTTCCGAATTTT